ACTTTTACGTTCAGCAAAATTGTTGAACTGGAAGAAGAGCTACGCGTCGTGGGCAACAATTTGAAATCGCTGGAAGTTAGCGAAGAAAAGGCGTTGCAACGCGAAGACTCATACGAAGAACAGATTCGACTTCTGTCACAGAGGCTCAAAGAGGTGGGATCTTGATGTCTTTTTATGCCGTGTATTACTATATTGTTTTATTTTATTTCAGTGTTTGCATGCGCCTTTAGATGTCTCTATTAAATCGTGGCTACTCGATATCTGATCACTAGATTTAATTTAGGCTGAGAGTAGAGCCGAGTTTGCTGAGCGTTCGGTGCAGAAATTACAGAAGGAAGTCGACAGGCTCGAAGGTAAGCAACGCGAACCGTTTGAGGAGCAGTTGACGATTGCCGTGTGTCTAACAATCAGCTAATGAGTGCCTGTTTCATGATTGCATTACGTTTCAGCGACATGTCGAACAGCGTGCTCGAAATATTCGCTGTATTGCAGACGATTTCGTCATTTCCCCATCATTCATTTTTGTGACTGTCCGGTTTGAATATCCATGTCATTTTGTCGATGGCGAACGGTTGCGAACCGGTCGATAGGTCAAGGTCTCCTGTGCACCAAGTCACATTGTTCGGTGTTGTCTAGAAGTTCAGCGGCACAGTTGTTTCGTTTCATAAACATCTCTGCTTTCTCCATATCGTTTTCGTTCGTACCCACTAGCGCTTAGGCAACCAGATGATGATATATAATATATTTTTGACTGATGCCCAGATCCGAGCCTGAGTTACTTCTGAACTTGCTCCCTAGTCTTACGACAGCGTTCACCACCTGTAATGTTGATTCCAATCATCAAACTAAACAGTGTTTTCAATACATGTTTCTGATAGAAATGATTTACAAGATGCTCTCAAGACGGATTATATAAATAATAATACTCAGAAGACGGATTTCCTTGGAACGAGGTCAATAAGTTGACTATGGACCATACGGCTTGATCATTCAAAAGCATGGCAATGTAGCGCTGTGGATTCTTGCTTATGGTAATTGTTCAGCTGACGATGAACCAAAGTCAGAAAAATCACGCTGAAGCTTCTGGCCCCACAACCTGAAAGAAATCGCGGACTTTTGACATGAATGGTTTAGATTCTTGTTCACTTATGTATTAATGGGCATGAATAACAAGCTTTTCTCTCATTAGATATAAACCCCTGCACTGTAAAATTAATGCGGACGTAGCTATGTAAAGCACATTTCAGGCAAATGCATTTATGATATAATTGACGGTCAGCCTAACAGGATAGAATGGTGAAATAGCTGGTTCATTGTCACCCCTAGTAGTGTCTGAACATTTTCTGCAAGTGTCCGTAATCACTGTTATTGACTTAAGCGTCCCCGTCAGGATATGATTAGCATTCAGTTTTTCCAGTGATAAGATGTTTATATACGGTAAATATATTCGTTCGTAAACATACTCATATTTTCGGATACACGAGAACCCCTTCTGATTTTACAGCTAGCAGCGCGAAAGACATCTATCCTCCTGGTAGCCATGAATTCGATGGTGTGTCTGTTTCTGTTCATATAGTGCACGGTATTGAAATTGATTTGCGTTTACGGACATCATACGTTAATGCACTGCAGCCCATGGCACAAAGCTTAAGCAACGATCACGTGTACATTTGTATTTATATTATGTTTAATCATATATTTAGAAAACAGATTGTAAAATCCTCGATTCGATTTTTTATCTTGTAACTGTAGTAGCTGATCTAGTGATTATGTAACTACATGGTTCGAATAAATGCTGAAAATGGATCTTCTCACTGCTCTCAGTTTTCATTGGGTATGTGGTTAGCAATATGTTTGATTCTGATTGTATCGGCATTTTTGTTAAACGGGAAGAGTTTAGCGATTTCATGTTGAGGTGATGTGGTCATTGCAAGCAACTGTCAGAAAAATGAACTGCGTGTCAAAACATGATGCACAACGGAGAGGGTGACAAAAAGTGCTTCAGTGGAAACTCAGATCGACAGAAGAGTAACGGTGGAATAAAGCAGTTTTGGAAAGCTGGAAAAGTTTTTATCTGGGAAGCTCGTGCGTGAAACGTAAAGATTTCTATCAATACCTGTTCTCAGTGCTAACCTGTGGGTGCAAAAAGTGTACTCTAAGCCTATTCAAAAGCTATAAACGCAGCTTGGAAATGGTAAGCGTATGTTTTGAATGGCAGGGAGAAGCAAGAAGACGTCCCAGTGGGCTAGAGCACCAATGGGAGTTTCCGATGGCATTGCCAAAACTAACAAATAAAAATGGCAGTGAACAAGACTCGTTGCAGTAACCAACCATAGTTTAAACGGATATTGGACTGGGTTGCAAGAAAGTTTACGGTCTATGGGAAAACCTTCAGTGGCTGACAGTGAGGTATCGAAATTATTTAGAACAAAATTTATGGGAACTACACTAAACAGAATTTTTGCGAAATATTCCAGAGTCCCTTAATCCAATTTTAAAGGCTTATGTTGATTCATGTAGGTATCCAGATGATTGATGGAATACCATGAAAGCACAGAATAAGAAAAGTGCTAAGAATTTCTGCAGTTCTTTCTCTTGAGGATGGATGTCTTACGTGATAAAAGTGAGTTAAATTTTAAAAACATTAATTGACATGAATGAAGTTTGCTTCTATACTGAGAGGTTTAGTATAGTATGAAAGCGTGACAGGCAAGTTGAAAGGTTAATTAGATAAAATGTGGCCGGAACAGTCTAACACACCGGATCCTAGTTATGATTCCAATTTTGCGACAGAAAGTTCTTAAGTGCTTTGCAATTTTTCTGTTTCATAAATTCATTCATAAGTTGTTATACATTCACATTTTTATGAGTATTCAGTAGTATTTATCTTCATTACAGAATTTAATTTTACGCTTTAGATGTTTTTTCAAGGGAACGACGGCTCAGTGTCAAATCGAGATATTTCCGTGAATAGCATGTTCAGATGAGGAAAATTGCTACCTGACCCTTTTGATTTTAGAAGTTAAATTAATATCAGACTATTGTTTAAGCTCTAAGAGAAAGGATCGTGTTTCAGAAATACATTAAAAAAAATTAATGGGAAAAATAGACGGAACCAGCTATTCTCACAGATGTGTTCAATTAATCAATATCGAATTTTCCGAGGAGGACAAGATTGAAGACCGCGAGTGTCTGGATAGCGAGGGCAGCTGGTAGTGTTTCGAACTGTTGAGTTATTTCAGGATATGTAGTATGTTAATGATCGAATTTTTGGGTTCGAGTGATGAAACCATCATATGCGTGTTTTATTGCTTAATATTTGGCTCCAATTAACAAACTCGAGGAGGAGTAATCGCAGTGAGTAGTTCAAGGAAGTCTAATCGTTTTTATGTTTTAATCTTTCGTTCGTTTTGTCCGCGTCACAGTCCAGCCGTTTGTGTCGTTTCATACCATGTTATATGTGTATGCTTTTTGTTTGTCGTCTTAGCAGCGTGTTACCGTTATGCTTTTATTAAATTTTGTGTTGTCAGATGAACTGGTCGTTGAAAAGGAGCGCTGCCGTCACTTGACGGAAGAAATTGAACAGACAGTGCAAGAAATTCAGGCTAACTAGAAAACCGAGGAAGCTAGTTCTGTCATCACGTTCATGTGTCTGTGCTGTCTTACGTTTATGTTGTGATCATGTCGCGATGTTATTCATTTATTTGTTATTATTCAGTATCCGTATTCTCTTCCCTCATCTTTTCACCATCCTTAGCTTGATCTGATCCTCTGCGCGCGGTGGTTTTGACCTCGTTTGATTTCTAGCTCAAGTTCTCACGATGTGTGAAACGTAGTTAACCGATAACCGAATGCTTTAGACGAATTAGCGAATGCACGATCGCAAAATCGAGCTCTGCAAGAAGAGATGGAAAGGACGCTTAACGACATTTCCAGCATATAACACACGGCTGCTGCCGTTTGTGCTACGTAGTTTAATGCATGATGAAAGGTTTGCATGTTCTTTTAATTCTTGACATCTTCACATCTAACTGTTGCTTTTACGTGAATGGATTGTTGCGCGGAGTCGTTTCTTTGATCAGCTGCTTGTTCTCTGGTTTCTGTTGTATCCCGTTTGTCGTCGTCCGTCCATTTTTCGACACAAAACATTAAACCACCGTCTTTAACCCGTTTCTTGCCCTTTCTAGATGAACTTGTACATGAAAAGGAAAAATACAAGACAATATCAGAAGAATTGGATCAGACTTTCCAGGAACTATCTGGCTATTAGGCGTGTCCTGTTTTCAGTTACTGAAATACAGCGACTGTGTAGTGTTTGTTATTTTTGTCTGATGAGAGAAGCAGTCGTCGTTCAGTAGTTTGTATTAGTATAAATTTTTTCAAAATATAACCCTGCCTGCGGTTTTCCGTGTTCTAGGGCCAAAGCTTTTACGACAGCATTAATTAATATTTTTGCTTTCGGTCTATATTTTCTCGCAATGCTTCATCTGATATAATTACGGCTGTACTTTCTATTCTATTTCTCGATTTACTCCTTTGACTATGATCGATTGAACATCCATTGATCGATCGATTGATCTGCTGACGTAACTGTTTTGTCTTCATGTGTTAGGTTTAGTTAAGATCAAAAGAATGACTATATCAATTGTTCGCAGCGATAAGCTACAGTTTTATGTACATTCGATATCGATATAACTCTCGTCTGGCAGTATCAAGTCGTTTTGTTTCGTCGTCGTTCAGTGAATGTTTATACGCGGCTCTGTTTTCGTTAGTTTATTTTTAGCTTACCTGTGCAATACCATCTTATCTGTTCTTTGATAAAGCTGAAATGGTAGATATTCATTGTCGCGATCTCTATATGCAATATAAATCAAGTGAACATATGTAAGTAGTCAGCAGTTCTGCATCTGAATGACTGATTGGTCACTGGCACGTATTAGCGTTATGCTTAAAAGTAAATCCGGCAATCCGAGTTTCTGAATTTTGTTCTTTGAGCGTTTGAAGCATTTTTGACCATTGTACACAAGCTTTCGAACATTTTTAATTTTACATTAAAAATGAGTTCTCTGCTTAAACAGGATTGCCAAAGAATACTGTTTTTCTCACAGATCAGTAAGGACATGCAAATGAAATAGCGTCGCATTAAATAAATTATCACTCTATCAATCATAGAACCAAGATTTAAGGAACCACGCTGCATTTAATAGTCGTTACTGTCATTCGTGACTTGCCAAGTCAAACATATGGCTAAACTACTAGTTGCAGTGGGAAGATTTTTACTGACAAATGCCACAGAAATTTTGGACCACCAAAAATTCTCGTATTCGATCGTGTGACGGTTAGTCAAATCGTAGACAAAATGCCGCAGTACACTCGTATTTAACGAATCTAAGAGGAATGTATTCATCTTTTGTCTTCCGGTGCATAAATGAATTGTAGCTATTTGACAAGGAAGCAGTTACGTTGCTGTAACTACTAAACAGTTTTGCCTCAAAATGAACAGTTTTTTGAAATTCCATTTCATGCTTGTGTAACGGGTTCATACAAATGGCCTAATGCTGTCGCACGTTTTTGAAATACTTCAACTGGCTTTATCAGTCGGTGAGTTGCTCATTCATTCTATTCATCAGCAATATAATCCTGATTTTCCTTGTTTCATAATTATCCGACAGTTGAAGGTTGCTCATCTTTCAGAAACCGAGAATGTTCTGCAGGTAGGTCGATGGATACTAACTAACTCAATAACCCTGAGTTTGAGTCGCCGTGAATTCTTTGCTAATTTGTCCATTCTTGATAGGTGGATGAATTACTTCGGAAAGGAAACTGTAGATTATACTCTAGAAGTCAGCTGACTAATGATAAGAAGGGAGATTAGCGCATCAAAAAAAGTTACCGCAAATGGTGCCCAATTTTAGAGCGTAAGGGAGATTAATATTCCAGAAGTAATTAACTCATTTTCTCTATAACCAGTATGTGGACTACACTGACTCAAGATGTTCATGTGTGGAACTTTTTAATTTTCAATTAACTTTGCGTTTTCGGATTTTCGGTTAGCAATCGGTCATGTCAAGATGAAGTTTGTAACGTTTACACTTCCAACGATCTACCGAGGTGGTTACATCAAGGCACATTGGGGCGAGTTTCTTACACAAGCGAATTATTTGTTGATAGAAGAAATTTTACGCATGGCTGGGGCTTCAAACTCTTCTAAAGTATAAAGCAAACCGTTAATGTGTTGTGCCGATACCCCCTATGCCGTTCATCCAGTATGCGAGTAACCGTTTGCAGCGTCACCTTCACTCAGGATACCAGTAAATATTTCGTTGCCAGTGGTGCTTGAAGTATGGACATTTGGCTTTCTTTGCTTTTGGCCGAATATCCTCGACCAGATTTTGGTTTTTCGTTCATTTTTCTTTGTCATTTACTGTTTAGAGTAATCTGCTTCAGTGTATTTCTAAAATGTCATTACCTAGTTGTACTTTACCGTTGGGGTATATCTTTAGATTTCACTATTGGTAGCAAAACACAGCGACGTTATTTATTTGGCATAAATTTACGTTTCGAGATGATTGATCGTCAATGAAATTGCTAAATATTTTCTCTCACGGCATACAGCTTATGTCGAATTTTTGTTGGATCGAGCAAATTGCAGCTAAAGCACCTACGTATCAAACAGCAGGCCGTAAATTCCGTATACGCCGATTTCATCGCTCCAAAACCGTGATATTCTCATAGCGAGTTAATTTCGGTTTTTCGTCAAGTTTCACCGAAACATCGCGGGGTGAATTTTTCTCAAGAAAAATGGCAATCGGTGACTAACTATACTTTACGTCGCACCATTATTCGAATCAGGTACCTGTGATGTGAGCGATCAACCACTTTTCCACAAAGTCACTGCGGAAGTGTAGTCCACTACAAGGAAATACTTCATTATTTGTCTCTTCTGGTAACTTGTTGACATCGTATTAAAAGACGTATTTGCTTCCTGTTCCACTACGTTATGGTCCTTGTCGAATCGAGGTTTTGCATAAGACCCATTCACTGAATCCTGAATGTAATCAGTATCAATTTGTTTTGCAAACGATTGTCACGAATAGACGTAGTAGTTTTATTTCAAAAAATTAATATAGAAAATAAAGACAAGCAAGGTATGAACTTCACCAGCCATATGAGCAATGATCTGAAAACGGAGTGAAAGGCATAGAAATTTGCCTTGCAATGTAAAATATACCAGTTCAAAGCCGGTTAACCACTTTCGTTTCAGTGCGTTTGTATAAAGCTAACCAACTGTCAGAGCTTTCAAAATGTCTCACATCGCTTTAAGTGGTAGAGCTAGGGATAATTAACCTGAAGGTGCTTATTGGCAGGTATTGTTAAAATTTCGAATCTGGCTTTGCAATTCCCTTCATTGACCGATTTCCAGAACGGAAAGGAATTACGGACTCTAAAAAATGAATGATTGATGTTTTAACTCAGAAATACCGTAAAGATATGCTTATCACATGATGATCAGTTCAATTTCTGGTCCTTCCAAGTCTAAGATACTGAAGGAATTAATTGTACCCATAAACGAAGCTCAGTCATCTGCTGAAGAATGGCGTCTAAAAAATCAAGTGAACGCGAGTCTCAAAGCTGAATTTACTACGAATAATTTCAATCCGATAAACAACGAAAAAAAGACGTGCCGCGAAGGTGTGTATGCAGGACCACGAATTTAAACCTCCAGCCGCGTTGCTGACGAAAGAAGCTGAAAAAGTGAACAGCTTAGCAGCAGCTCTCACGAATATTTCAAAACGTTCGAGTGCGATTTATTTTTAGGGTTCAGGGAGTGAATTCCTTGCGCTTCGATGTGTTTCAAGAAGACAGACTCAAAGCAATGCTATAAACAACGAGGTTTTGTCAGCTTTGATATTGGAGGAAGCAGAAAATTCATTTCTCTATACCACAATGTCACCGTATGTTAAAAATATGGACACCATGAAGGCTCTAGGCACAAGAAAAGATAAAAGCAATCTTTAATCGGAAGCCGGTGTTTTCGACATGTTATCAACGAGCAGAAACCAGTTCATAGCTGAATTGCACGATTCACTTAACCAATCTGATTGAAAGAGCATTTCTAGGCCCCACTGCGTGTGCATAAATTATGAAGTAAAATTTCTGAACGACGTACTGTTTACGCTCTCGAGTACAATTAAGTTAAGTGTCGAAAATTAGCTGCCCAATGTTGGTTTTTAATGACGCACCAGTGAATCCATCAGAAAAGTTTTCGTGCCATCTGCAGTTAATGAATCACTGGTTGGCTGTCTGGAGATGAGGTAAGTTCGAGGACTGGACGAGGAATCAACGCATCAGCACGGGATGTGCGCACTTAGTATTCAGCGCCGGTGACAGGATCACCGCATGACTACTCGACAGAAGCAAATAAAGCACTTTACACGAACAACCGTTTCGAATACGCAGCGAAGATGACAGAACAAGTTATGTTCAGTTTCGTTTACAGCGCTGCTGCGTGCAATAGAAATCAACAGCTGAATTATCTCTTAAACGGTACCTCTCGAAATTTGCCTAACCCTGGTCACTCAGTATAGCGGTATCGCAGGGAATACGTGAAAT